TTTTTAATTTATCTATTTCATATAAATTTTAGCTTCATTTTGGTGTCACCCATTATTGCGTTAGATCCAACCCATTGTAGTCTAGAAAATTGTTCTTGAACATTTAAAGGAGCCCCAAATTAAGTAATCTCTAGTTTGATTGGTCATATTAAGAGTATATCTATTCGGCTGCAAAGCAGCTGAGTCTTATATGATTTTGAATGGGACGCATGATTTACAGCTGAATGACACGATTATTTTGCAAGTCGTCAATAAAAATACAATTAAGTACATAAAAAAATTCACATACATCGGCTTTACACTTCAGGACCAATTTTGAATTTATGGCTTGTTGCAAAACATTTAATTGACATTTTCTTCAAATGGAAAGACAATGATTTCTTATCTCCATATACAAATAATGGACTGTGCAACTGTCTGTAGTTTACTGAGATTTTTATATCGTGGAATCAGGCTATTTATCATGTTGTCTCTGACCTACAGGGGATCTGTTTTGCATGTGTACAAAAAGCACCAGTGTAAGAGCTGTTACATTGGATTGTCATAAAACATCAGAATTTTTCAATCTTTCCATTTTTTATCGTAGAAATTTATCTTTTGAAGTTTTGTATTTTTGTAGATGATTTGGATAGTGTTGTGCGGACATAGTTCTGGTTTCAAAAACAGTGGTCTTTTGTGTATAACAAAGTCACAGGTGTGCTGTTTATTTTGGTTAGATTTGGTAATGGGGTCTGGAGCCTTTATAAAATAATGATGTTTAATCGTGGGTCATTTACTTATTAAAAGTTAATATATCGTTTTATTGGGATATAATTAATCAATGTTCAAAGCATTACGATAAACAATTACGAGCAACGCTGTCTTTAATTAACACAAAGACTGTAAATAAGACCCGTAGTGTAGAATTCCTGGCACATACCGACACTGACTAAAGCTTTCACGTCCTGTCACAGTATAAATTTTTTACTACTAGCACGGACATAATGGAATTTTCATGTTATAACGTTTTTCCTTTAATTTTAACACTGTCTATATGTAAATATGACCCAAAGTGTAGAATTCCTGGCACATTGCTACGTGGACTAAAGCTTACACGTCCTGTCACAGTATAAAATGAGTACTACTAGCACGGACGTAATGGAGTTTTCGTGTTGTAACACTTCCCCTTTAATTTCAACAACTGCGAAGATCTAAAGGGAAACTCGTCTAGTTAGTATTTTATTCATTTTTCTAGAGGTATGCATTGCACAGGTTAAACCGGTAGTGGACTAAAAAAAGAGGGCTTTCATTTTATATTTCGGGCCTTATTTATTTTAGATAACAGATGTTTAAAGTTGAATACAGTATATAATAAAGCTTCAAAAGTGACTGATTTACTATAGAACATGGAGTACGAAATTTCATTAGACCAAGACAATAAATGAAAACTTTAAGCACCAAAAATTTAACTTTATGATCATACTCTGTCACCAGCTAATAATAAAAAGCAAAGTAAATCTGACTCTTACTCACCATTATTTGTTAAACCTGTAACTACTTATAGTTTCTGTTCGTTTTTTCTCAATAAACAGTAGCAGACATATGTTCCACTATTGACACACAAAACCAAAATTAAAAGCCTTTCAATCTGAATTGTGTCTATTTCACGATCATTTCCATCCACAATGTTACAAACATTTACTTTTGTTTTAACATAAAATAAACATGAATATTTTAACTGAAGTCTGAATTTTAAAGAATGATTGGTAATTTATCACCATGGTCAAATAAATAAAATATTGTTTTGTCGATTGCTTTGTTAGATGAAAAGGGGGATCTGGCTTAAATGTCAAATACTTACTAACCCTGAAATCTCCCTATTATCTTATTCTAGAGACAATGGCAGATCCTGAAGTCATGTATTCAGTTTTAAATCAAATACCTTCAGTAGCTTTGAAGATTGATGTTACATGTAAAACTTTAGCCAAGGGCCGTAATTCTGTTAAAACCATGCTAGAGTTACTGGCCATTGACAATGACTTCCAATAATTATTCCAAAGACGTGTTTTAAGTTTCTAAAAAATTCATAATATGTCAAAATCAATGATAGAGTTATGGCCAATTATGACCCTAAAGACTTGTAATAAAGCTAAAATAAATATCTTTAGGCCCCGTGTTCACAAAGATTAAAGAATCAGGATCAATATCAAATTTAAAAACTCTAATATTCTTCATTTTTTATCCTCATAGATTAAGTATCTAATATTAATTTGATAAAATTGGACTTTCAGTAGCAAGTATATGAAATTTTAGAATAAATTTATTGTTATTTTTGCAAGATATTGGTACGTTACAGTTGATCCAAATATTAATCCTAATCCTAAAATTGACCCTTATTTTAATCCGAATTATATTTTGTATTGTTTTTGTTATTTGTTGGTTTTAACCCAAATAAGTTTGGTTTCTTTGCAAATCAGCATTTTTTTACATTTTGAATATTTACTATTTAATTCTAGCAAAACATGATCAATTTTAGTAACATCAAACAATGAAAACTAGACTTGCCACTGTCATGGCGTGAATACCCCCGCAAACCACTTTGTTAGAACCAACAGTGGTCATTCAGAGCTCAAGGACAACCTCCCAACCAAATCTGAGGGTAGTAGCCAGTGCAAAGCTAAGTTATGTATTCTACATGTATTCTACATGTTTGAAATCAAAGTGACCTTTACCTTTGATCTACTGACCTCAAAACTGAAACTGCCACTGCATGACTTGAATACACCACCCCCCCCCCTGCGGCTTTGTCTGTGGGTGTTTAATGATGAATAAATAAGAAAATAATTATATGCTTCAAATGTGAAAATATAAAAAATCAATACACTATGGACAGGCATTTTTAATCATTTGAGCAGACAATATTATTTTAGTAAAAGCCCCTATGACCTTGACCTTTGACATAGTCACCTAAAAATCAATAAGGGTCATCTAATATTCATAACCAACCTCAATACTAAATATGAAGACTGTTTACCAAAGCATTCTAAAGCAATTGAGCGGACAAGCTTTTGAAACTAAATGCTCCTGTGACCTTGGCCTTTGACCCACTGATTTCAAAATCAATAGGGGTCACTTAATGGTCATGAGCAACCTCCATGCAAAATATGAAGACTGTTGGATCAAAGGGTTATTAAAATATTGGGCAGATAAACATTTTTAGTCAAGGCCCTTCTGACCTTGACCTTTGACCTAGTGACCTCAAAATACAAAAGGGGTCATCTACTAGTCATAACCAACCTCAGTACCAAAAATGAAGACTGTTTACTAAAGCTTCTTAAGCAATTGAACAGACAAACTTTTGAACTTAAGGCCCCGCTGACTTTGACCTTTGAGCCAGTGACTTCAAAATCAACATGGGTCACCAAATGGTCATGAGCAACATCCATGCAAAATATGAAGACTGTTGGATCAAAGGATTCTTAAGATATTGGGCGGACACGCTTTTGGAAGTCAAGGCCCCTGTGACCTTGACCTTTGACCCAGTGACCTCAAAATCAATTGGGGTCATTTAACAATCATGACCAACTTTCATGCAAATATGAAGACTGTGGGTCAAAGGATTCTTAAGTTATTTGGCGGACAAGCTTTTTTCAGTCAAGGCCCCTGTGACCATTGACCTTGAGACCTCAAAATCAATAGGGGTCATCTACTAATCATGACTTACCTCCATGCCAAATATGAAGTCTAATGGTAAAATGATTCTTAAGTTATCGGGCAGACAAGGAAAAACCGACGGACGCCCGATGGCCGGACAGCCAAGCTGATTCCAGTATACCCCCCTTACAACTTTTTTGTGTAGGGGTATAATAAAATCAGGATCTGGACGTTTGAAAGTGACAACTCCCATTATGCTCTCAAGTTAGTGTAAGAAGTTACAAGCAAATATCATAAGCGGTTGATTAGATATGATCTTCCACCCTAATATTACGCTGATGCCAACACCAATGACAACGCCCCATATAAGTACAATAGCCCTACTATTTTTCTAATAGTCAAGCTTAATAGTGAACCTCATTTCATATTAATAATCAAGCCTGCTTCATTTTGAAATTCAAACATATGCTGTACATGAGTATTTCTATATTTAAACATACATTGTATGTGAGTATTTTTACTGAGAAATCTGGATTTATAAATAATCTGATCAGTATTAAATAACCAGAGCGGTGAAAAAGTCAATATCTGGGTTTGTCATTGGAAAAGATAGGGAGTCTGTTTGTAATTTCATTGGCGCTTGTTGGTAGATTTGCCTCGTACTAATCAAACAGACAAACTACAAATTCATTTATTATTGCTAATTACTTACTTTTAGCTAGCTGTGTACAAACAGATGCTAAAGTTGTCATTTGTTCTGCTTGGTTCTGGGAAGCATTAATCTCTTTTTGCCGAATTTCAATTGCTTTTCTGAAGAATGCTGCAGAATGCTCTTTCTCAATTTTTAACAACTCTCCAAGCTCTGAGAATTTGTCGTCTTTCTCTGTTATCAGACTGAAGTCACCAATAGTTAGAGCACCAGTCAATAAAGCTGTAATTCTACTCTCAATAACTGAAACAGCTTGTCCCAAGTACACATTACATTTCGGTGAGAGCATTTTCATCTGTTTATTGTCTTCGCATATAATAAAGAAAACATAAGATTACAAACAACAAAGAAAAATTTGGTAATGATGGCCCACTTTCACTTAAAAGGTATTATAGGAAGTTTACTCTTTGAATATTTTGATTAACAAAGCAGATCCCATAATATTGGATGTTGGTCACACATTTATCATATCTTTTCATTTAATTAAATCAAACTCTGACCAATAAAATTGACCAAAATAAGCTTCATTGATTTTTGTAATACACAAGAAAGTGATTCGTCTTTTTTTGACAATGTTTTTAATTAATTACTGTTTGGTCAGAACAACAACTTGTGTTGGGACTTGTTCAATATTGTGTTGGATTTTAAGTCAAGAACATATGGCGTCTTTTAAGATTTACTGGTAGAGGAAGGTAATACTGGTGGAGGAACACAACACATACACCTTTGTGAATTATTTCTGTCACAGATCCGGAACCTGAGTAGAAAAGAACTGACTTGATAGCTTACTCATATGAAATAATTTAGCATATGCTAGCTAGAAACAAAAACATAATGCAATAGTGGGTTTATAACATTTCTGGTAAGTGCTATCATACATTTGTATGCATGAACTACGATGTGCTATAAGTAATTAATGATTGAATAATATTGGCCACCTTTTACATATAAAACATTAAATATATAATAAAATCCATTTCAAACAGATTTTTAGACAAAACTTCCGTAATATACATAAAGGAAAAAATATCATGCCAAGAGCAGCCATGTATTTTAAAAAAATCTAAATAATTTGAACATTATTGGTGGATGCATTGATCATTTATATGAAATATTATCAAAATCTGATATACATTTTAAAAGAACATTAACAAGGCTTTACCTAGACATATACGAGTACATTCCACAAAAATATCTGATTTTTTAAGAAGAAAATTAATTAAAATAATTTAAACAATCTTTGTAGATGCTCACCAAAGGTATCATCGATTCAGTAAAATAATAATATCCAAATCTGACTGACAAGATTTTTTTCCATCATACATGTAAAAATAAAATAGACCACACCCCTGAACAGCGATGTTTCTTTATCAAATCAAATCTTATTATAGGTCACCATAAATCATTTCTGTTTAATACTGTCAAAACCATGCCAACAGTTTTTAGATGATGATTTACAAAGTTATCCCTTCATACATATATTGAAAATAGACCTGACTGCACTAGCAGCCAGGTTTTCTGTAGGTAACCTAAAACATACCTATAAAGTTTTGATGATACTGACCATGTAGTTTAGGAGATGGACGTTTGGATGGACATGGTACAGCAAGAGATCACAATAGCTCATTTTAAGCAAATATTGTGCCTAGGGCTCTAAATTGAACAATACTGTATGTATTATGTATTTATTTGTTTGTTTTGTCTGACACTTTAAAACACATATATTGTGTTTGGGCTGGATTTAGTAACATAGTATAGGGACTTTTAAGCTTTATTGTTATAGAAAGATCTGATGTGCCCGTTTGTGAATTATTTAAGGTACGAGTTTGTGCCTAAGTAGTACTGTAGCGTGTACCGAGCGCTTGATTATTTATCTATTTGCTACAAAATAAAATCACAATATCGTTTAGTGCAATTATATATAATTTTTTAGGATACTTATCCGAATTGATTTGAAACATTCAAATATAAATTTTTCTTTCGATTAGATTTCGATTAGAGGCTGTTTTCATTTAAAAGTCTCCCGTTACAAGTTCAAATTGCTATGAAACTATAAAAACTGCTTCAATACTAATAAAACTTGGCACAAATGTTGACTGGGCCATTGCCTTTGCAGCAGCATGATCAGGCTTAAATTTTCTGTTACCATGGCAACGAGGGGACATCTCAAAACTGCCAAAAATCACTATTTTGCGATGATTTTTTTCCATCAAAATTTAAAGTGCTGCAACTTCTCAATGGATTGAGATAGAGTCAATTGCTTTTCAGCGTTGGTTACACGTTACCTTATGATCGTTCTGGGGTCATTTTAAACCCCCACAAGTCCAAAATTTTCTTAACGATGAGGGGGACTGCCGCCCCCTTCATACCCCCCAAAACAGAAGGGGGCAACCCCCTGATGTATCTTTTGCTTGGGGGCCGCGCCGAAAAAGTGGTCACTTTTTTAACAACATTTGTCAAACAAAAACAAGTGTTGGGGGCCTAAATAAGGCATTATTTCACCTTTTGAGACAACTAAAAGGGGGGGGGTTGAAAAAGACGTTAAAAGGCGTGTATATTGCGTAATGGGTTAACAGAAAATGAAGAAAATGATTGAAATTACCCAAAATCGCGTTTTTCCATGTTTAAACATGGCCTATCATATAAATTTGAAGAAAAACTGTTGTTTTGTAGATTTTTTGAATTTTTTTTCATTAACAGAAAATGATGAAAATACTTGAAATTACCCAAAATCGCGTTTTCCCATGTTTAAACATGGCCTATCATATAAATTTGAAGAAAAATTGTTGTTTTGTATATATTTGGATTTTTTTCATTAAACAAAAACTATTAATCCTAAATCTAACACATGTTTATTTCTCACTTTAACATTTAAAAACAAAAATCCCTTATCTCAAATAAACCAAACGTTCAAAAATCTATCTTTTAAAATACTATTTTCCAAATAAACTATCTCATATCAAACCTTTGCCCAAGTCAGTTTTTCCTGAAGCAATGAAGTATTTTTAGCACCAGATATCTAAGATTTCTTGGTACTAGTAAATATAATTACCACTTCGATCTTAACCATACTGAGCCAAAACCAAAACTTACCAAAAATATTTTCTTAAAATAATTTATGACCAAGGATTTTTACAGAAATCATAAAATGTCCTTAGTACCAGATATCTGAGATTTCTGTGTACCAGTTAGTATTTATGACTTCGTTTCCACTTCCCCACGGACAGGACCAGACTGAATCTTTCACACTGCAGTCACGCTCTATTTATATGCAGGTGAAGCATTATCCCAGCAGTAAATACAAACAAAAAGTTTGATCACCTAAAATAACTAGAACTATCACAAAGTGTGATTAATACCCCCGCAAGACGGCTTTGGATATGAGGAAGTTACACATAACAGAATACCTTGTAAAAGAATTGAAATAGAGTTATCGTTGTTGGCAATTAAAGATAGTTGTGGTTCTTGTATGTTGCATTTCCTTTCAATGTGGTTGACCATTGATGAAGTTTTATTTAATTACTCTGTAATAAATCCAAAAAGAGTCACGCTTCTTGAGCACTGCACTTCCGCTCATTGGGCTTGACCATTGTATGAAGTTGCATTGAATTCTAAACATTAGTTTTTAAGTTATGCACCAGACAAGGAAAAGAAACAAAGGGCAATAACCCTACAAATACTGAAGATGGAGTTATGGTTATTGTACACTGCACTTCCTCTTAGTGCGCTTGACCATTGTATGAAGTTGTATTACATTCCAACTACTAGTTTTTAAGTTATGCACTGGACAAATAAAGTAACAAAGGGCAATATTTGTAATTAGTCCAAATAGAGTTCTTGTTTACTTCACTTCATCTCACTCCCCTTGACCATTGTATGAAATTTTATTGAATTCCAATCACTTATTTTCAAGTTTTGCACTGGACAATAAAAAGTAACAAAGGGCAAAAACAAAATGAGTCAAGAGAGGTTTCTGTGCACTGCGCTTCCCCACAATATACTTGACCATTATATGAAATTGTATTGAATTCCAACTAGTAGTTTTCAAATTATGCTCTGGACAAGAAAAAAAGCAATATAAAAGTAACAAAGGGCAATAACTCAATAATTACTCTGGACAGAGTTATGGTTCTTGTGCTCTGCACTGCCTCTTATTGTGCTTGAGGATTGTATGAAGTTGATTTAAATTCCAACCAATACTTTTCAAGTTCTGCTCCAGACAAGGAAAAGTATCAAGGGCAGTAACTCTGTAATTTGTCAAAATGGAGTTATGGTTCCTGTGCACTGCGCTGCCTCTCATTGTGCTTGACCATTATATGAAGTTGTTTTGAATTCCAACTAGTAGTTTTCAAGTTATGTTCCGGACAAGGAAAAATAACAAAGGGCAATAACTCTATAACAAGTCAAGATGGAGTTATGGTTCTTGTGCACTGCACTTTCTCTCAATGTGCTTGACCATTGTATGAAGTTATATTGAATTCCAACCATTAGTCTTCAAGTTATGGTTCGGAAAAAAGAAAGCAATTGAAAAGGAACAAAGGGCAATAACTCGATCTGTAATTACTTTAGATAGAGTTATGATTATTGTGCACTGCACTTCCCCTTATTGTGCTTGACCATTGTATGAAGTTGTTTTGAATTCCAACCAGTAGTTTTCAAGTTATGCTCCAGACAAGGAAAAGTAACAAAAGGAAATAACTCTGTAATTAATGAAGATAGAAATATGTTTCTTGTACACTGCACTTTCTCTCAATATGCTTGACCATTGTATGAAGGTGTATGGAATTCTAACCATTAGTCTTCAAGTTATACTCTGGACAAGGAAAATGCAACAGACAGCTGGACCGACCAACCAACCAACCGACAACTGGGTGACTCCTATATAATAAAATGTTTCTTAAAAAACTGATTTTAACTAAACCTTATGAGCGTCTGTTAATCAAAATGACTTCTTTTTCAAACTATTGTGATTAATAGATGTACAATTTCAAATATTAACACTTTGATTGATATCCTAAAATTATACAGATTTGATAGTAAATATACCTAAAATACCTACTCTTTATATCATATCAAATTTTTGAAGGGATGACTAAATATTTTCTTTAAATACAAATAGCAAACTTATAGAAAGGGGAGGCAATCAAATTAACTAGTACGTTTCCGTCACAGTACTACCAATCTTCCGTAAGCTAGTTGGATAGTTTCGACAAATGACAAACTTTATAAAAAGTCTGACATAATTAAAGCTCATAGGAGATACAGACAGGTGATTTTAAGTCTTTAGCCATAGCAATTTGGCCATGAATTCACTAGCTCACTTATTCTAATAAAGTAAACAAGAAACAGAATAATTATGTAAAAAATCATTTTATGTTTATCATAGATAAAAACACATTTATTAAAATTAAAATACTCACAAGAGATTTTCAGGTATACTGTTAATGGTGGCCATCTCAGAACATGTCTCAATATGGTCATACTTTCATCTTTTCCTTGCTTTACATTTTTTTCCCATTCAGATACAAACATCCGTGATAACAACCTTCCAAAGCGTTCATTCTCATTTGAAGAAAAGTGTCCATAATCAAGTAAATATCCTTGTTCAATTGCCTGAATATAGCAATAATAAACATTATGTCTTGAAAAACCAGATCAAGCACCGGGCTGGGGCAATGCTCGACATAGTTTTATAGTTTATGTAAAAAACAAAGAAATAAAAGTTTTAAATAAATCTTTAAAAAGAAAATTTAAGAAAACTAGAAATGTGTCCATAGGACACGGATGCCCCCACACGTCACTGTTCTGTCAATGTTATGACTCTAGGTCAAATATTTTTTGGACTACATGTGCCACAAGTTGAAAACTAAAAATCAACAAAGGGCCATAATTCTGTTAAATTTGGTCGCAGCAAAAATTCCTTCCTTTACTACCATCTACACATTAAGGTTGTAAATCCCTGGAAGTTTTAGCAAAATCTGCCATCCGGTTTAAGAGGAGTTACGTTCACAAAATTTCTACATAGTATATAATGAAAAAATCAACAAAGGGCGATAATTCTGTTAAATTTGGTTGCAGCAAATATTCCTTCCTTTACTGCCATCTACACATTAAGGTTGTTCATCCCTGGAAGTTTAAGCAAAATCTGCCATCCGGTTTAAGAAGAGTTGCATTCACAAAATTTCTACATAGTATATAGTGAAAAAATCAACAAAGGGCCATAATTCTGTAAAATTTGGTCGCAGCAAAAATTCCTTCCTTTACTACCATCTACACCTTAAGGTTGTTCATCCCTGTAAGTTTTAGCAAAACCTGCCATCCGGTTTAAGAGGAGTTGCATTCACAAAATTTCTACATAGTATATAGTGAAAAAATCAACAAGGAGCCATAATTCTGTAAAATTTGGTCGCAGCACAAATTCCTTCCTTTACTACCATTTACACCTTAAGGTTGTTCATCCCTGTAAGTTTAAGCAAAATCTGCCATCCGGTTTAAGAGGAGTTGCGTTCACAAAATTTCTACATAGTATCTAGTGAAAAAATCAACAAAAGGCCATAATTCTGTTAAATTTGGTCGCAGCAAAAATTCCTTCCTTTACTACCATCTACACATTAAGGTTGTTCATCCCTGTAAATTTAAGCAAAATCTGCTATCTGGTTTAAGAGGAGTTGCGTTCACAAGATTTCGGGATGTACGGACGGACGGACGGACTGACGGACGGACAAGTGCAACGCTATATGCTCACAATTTTGTGGGGGCATAAAAAGTAAAAAGCCAAAGTATGTCATTAGGTAAAAATCTAGATAAGCTGGTAACAAAGTTCAATGGTACATCTGAAACTGTGCACATGATCAAAATTTCAAAGCTGTACATCAAAGAAAATGAAGGTAGGTCAACATCAAGGTCAACTGATATCAAAATTCAATTTCACATCTAAAACTGTGCATATGGTCTAAATTTAACAGCTTTACATCATAGAACAAGAAATTTTGTCACTAGGTCAAAACCTAGGTCAGCTAATGTGAAAGTTCCTTTTTACTTCTGAAACTATGCACATGGTTCGAATTTCATAACTTTACAGCAAAAAACAAGAAAGTAAGTCAAAATCTAGCTCAGCTGATATCGAGGTTCAATTTTACATCTAAAACTCTGCACATGGTCCAAATTTCATATCTGTACATCAGAAAACAAGAAAGTAGGTCAATAGGCCAAAATCTAGGTCAGCTGATATATCATTTCATTGGTACATCTTAAACTGTGCACATTGTCCAAATTTCATAGCTACACATCAAAGAACAAGAAAGTATGTCACTAGGTTAAAATCTAGGTCAGCTAATGTGAAAGTTCCTTTTTACTTCTGAAACTATGCACATGGTTCGAATTTCATAACTGTACAGCAAAAAACAAGAAAGTAAGTCAAAATCTAGGTCAGCTGATATCAAAGCTCAATTTTACGTCTTAAACTAAGCGTGTGGTCCAAATTTCATAGCTGTACATCAAAGGGCAAGAAATTAGGTCTCCAGGTCAATATCTAGGATAGCTGATATCAAAATTCAATTTTACATCTTGAATGGTGCACATGGTCAAAATTTCATAGTTAAAGGATAAAACAAGAAAATTTCATTAATATGACCCTGACAGTCAATGCCAATTAAAGGTCAAGGTCACATTTGAATTATTCAATATATTTGTTTGGTAGAAAGTATTGTTTGTCTTGTGTTGTCTTGTGTTGTCATATCCAGACAAAAATAAAATTATGCCAATTTGACCAAAATTCAATAATTTGACTTGATGGTCAAGGACATTTAACAATCAACCTCAAGGTCAGTTCAATCTTATAAAAGATTTTGTCTAGAAGGTTGTTTAGTCAAAATATGAAGATAATTCATTGATTTAGTACCAATTTACAGTCATTTTTTGCAAAATCATTGAAAAGTTAATAATTAAAACCTTTAAAGGTTCAAGGTCAAAATAAACCCCGGGTTTAAATTTAAGTTGACAAGCTGAAGGTTTTATTTAAAAAAATGTTTTTTTTAAATATGAATTAATCCACCCCATTAACAAAAAGATATACCATATAAGAAAAAAAAGAAAAATTTCAATGTTTTCCCAAAAAATGTAAGTTAATTTATCAGTGAAGTTTGTGTGGTTAACTTGAAGGTCTATCTTAGTAGATTGTTATGTACATGTTTAAAGACAATTCATTCAAAATTAACAAAGTTATAGCCACTATTAGCAAAATTAAGCAAAATTTAAAATTTGACCTTGAAGGTCAAGGTCATTTATGAATGAAGATCAAGTTTAGTCTAGTCTATGTCTTGTCCTTAGGGATTTTGTGGCCAAATATGAAGACAACACGCCAAGAACTTAAAAAGTTATGATCAAGATACAAGTTTGCGGAATGCAGAACGATGCAGACATGACTACAACAATACCTATTTTTTCTTCAGTCTTCAAAAGTAAGTTTCATAAGATCTTATGAAAATAGGAACAGTTTTGTATACTAAAGTATATAAAGAATCATACCTTCACTAACCTAAATGAATACTAGTGACATACATATTTTTTCTAAGGCTTATAGACAAAATACACCTTAAAAAGTTACTGTTACATTATGATTGTACCCATAGCATTTCATAAGCATTTTTAGTAAATGCTAATATCCACCTTAAAATTTGGTCTAATACATTAATTGTATTATTATAATGGTTTTGAAACTAAACATCAACTTAACAATACTTTAGTATGTTTAGTAAATAAGTTTTAGCTGGATAAATTGATCTAGATATAAAGTCATGATTTAAACTTGTGGACAAAGTATATATGATTATCTATCATTGTGGAAGAGACTGTCAAAATAAAGAATAATCATTTATATTCTGAAGAAAATATCTATTGCATGTGGTTTCCAAAATAAAACAGTTAATTACAATTACCCTATACATATAAGATCAGATCAGTTTTCATTTAGATAACATCATCTTGTGGAATTCCATTAAAAAAAGCTACTTTAAATTATACTTACAACAAAAGCAATGTTTCCCATGCACTCTTGCATACTTGGATTGTAAGCATCCAAATTCTGACAGTATATTTCTACAAACTTCTTCATCTGGGTACTATACTTACAACCCTATGAATAAATTTTAAGAAAAGCAATAATTATGTGTTGGATAACTAGGAGGGAATAAGAAGAACATAAGTTCTTTGTGGTGAAATAATGAACTCTTTGTTTATATTTAAAATCCCCCTTAGTGTTTAGCATATTATAATTGCACCTTAAGATAATGCATATCAAATATTAAACATCTTATTACCTTATACTTGCAGACCCCCTGAATGGTTTTGTGGCTCTACATGTACATTTTTGTAGCATAAATCTCAACAATAATCTACCCTAACAATGTTTGACAGATAAAGGCATGAACACAAAATTGCATTCGGACCTGTAAGTAAATTGTGCACACAAAGAGGTATATAGCAAATAGCTTTGCAATATACCAGTATTCTACAGTAATGCAAATCAGAATAGAGACAGAATTAATGCACTGAAAATACTGGAAATCAGCATAGCATTGGAGTCCGAATAATTTTTGTTAGGGCGCATGTTAAGAGTCAAATTCAATAAGCACTTTCCAGCAGTATTAACATACCGTGACCTCTGACCCAGGACCCCAAAATCAATACAGATCATCTACTAGTTATGACAAATCAGTATGTGAAATATGAAGACTTTGTGATGAACAATTTTTAAGATAAACAGACCGACCAACATTAGCAAATAATACACCCCTCGTCTTTGAAGGGGAGCATAATAAAGATGTTATACAAAAAAAAACATGTTTTCATTAAAATTCTAAGTTTAAGTGCTGTAATTCTGCTAATTTGGGGGGCTAGAGTTGTGAAATTTCTCACGTATGATTTGGGGGAACAAACATTACAGTATAATTTGAAGTTTTTAAATAAATACTTTTAAAAAAAGATTATAGGAAAAAGATTTCTGTGTGCATAAATTTAAATTGAAATCTACCCCTATTTAAATTTTTTAAAACTAATCGAGTTTTTGTTCACCTTTTTCCATTTTGGTAAAATAAATTACATAAATAATTATTTAAAGCAGCACGCCTCCAGATTCATGCTAATTTTCATGAAAATTTTGAAAATGTATTTGAATGTGTAATATTGTGAAGTAACCTAAATGAAGCAAGTTACTTATTATTAATGGCACTTACAAACCACTTAAATTACCAAAAAGTGGTCAAAATATGCATAAAAAGCATTTACTGCGTTAGTAACGCAGTAGAAATATAGATGTAAATTATGAACAAGAGCGATCAGTAATCACATGTGTCGCCTCATGATGGCCAATTTCATGTTGGGACAAGTTTTGTGACAGACGGACAGACAGACGGACAGTGCACAACTAGACTTGGTACTGATCATTCCTGTAAAGTTTGGATAAAATTGCACCAGTACTTTATGAGGAGTAGTCCGGACAAGCTTTTGTGTATCTGGCAACACACAGAAAAAAACACCTTTTTTATTAAAGGGCCATAACTCAGCTAAAAATCATTCAACCGGAAAACCCGTGCAATATGCGCAAGTACTTGAGCTACAGATTAATCCAGTAAAGTTTCATTGAAATTGCCTTAGTGGTATAAGAGAAGTAGTCCGGATAAACTTTAAAAATGAAAATTATTAAAGGGTCATAACTCTGACAAAAATCATTGAACCGGAAAATGCTGACAATACGCACAACTTGACTTGGTACTGATCATTCCTGTAAAGTTTGGATGAAATTGCAACAGTAGTTTATGAGGAGTAGTCCGGACAAGCTTTTGTGTATCTGGCAACACACAGAAAAAAACACCTTTTTATCAAAGGGCCATAACTCAGCTAAAAATCATTCAACCGGAAAACCCGTGCAATATGCCCAATAACTTGAGCTACAGATCAATCCTGTAAAGTTTCATTGAAATTGCATTAGTGGTATAAGAGAAGTAGTCCAGACAAACTTTAAAAATAAAAATTATAACTCTGACAAAAAATCATTGAACTGGAAAATGCTGACAATACACACAACTAGACTTAGTACTGATCATTCCTGTAAAGTTTGGATGACTTTGCACCAGTAGTTTATGAGGAGAAGTCCGGACAAGTTTTGTGACGGACAGACAGACGGACGGACAGACAGACGGACGATGGAGAAGTGATCCCTATATGTCGCCACTACTCCGTAGAGGCGACACAAAAATCAGTCATTAATCGCAAAAGTATATGTAAAATATTACTTGAATCCTGAATCTTTTTACTTTTCCTTACATCTTAGTACATTTTTCTCAAATTTGATTTGATTGAAGTATGTTGACTCATCTGGAGGCATGTAGCTTTTAAGTCTATTTGCTGCCAAAGCAACCAAATTTTCCAACATAGGTGAAATAGGTGTGCATAATTTTCAGACTGCCATCTGCCCATATTTCAAGTTCCATAAATATATTTTCAGCACTTTTTGCTTTATCATGGCTTCCAGTTTTTGTGGACGGACTGACAGACAGAAGGACATGCAGACAGACTTACAGACTGACAGAAAGACAGAACGATACGCTAAAATTCCCTCTGGGTAAACCTGAAGGGGACTAATAAAGAGGTTAGTAATCCATATGGATATAGACATTAAACCTAACTATATATAGACAAGTATTTACTGTTTACTTGAAATTAAATACATTTTTACATTGTACCATTTGGAATTGTGTTGCTTCAAGATCATTCTGATAGATGTTTCAAAGAAAAAAGAGAGCTACCAAGGCCCTTGATTGCTCTTCTTAGATTTATTGATTTTTGGGGGGATTAGTTTAATGTCACACCAACACAGTACAGATCATATTGTGATATATAGTGACCCCAACACAGGGCCATTTTGACCTCAAGGACATATCACAATTTTTTTGTACAGGTCCAATAGGGAATGCTGTAGGCTACATATATAAACTCTGGGCATTTTAGTTTCACAAAAAAGGACTTAAATGTCTTTTCCTATATAAAGTTATATAAAGTAACACAACATTTTATGAAAATGTAACAGCATCTGGTGAAACTTATTTTAATATACTTTAATCAAGTTTCACTTTAACAACCAGTATGTGAGATGAACACAGGACATATACAGCAATTATCCAATATCCCTTTCTGATTTCATATGTTAGGTATGACAAAATGAGTACACCAAATTGTGCTTACTCTTTGCTGAAGATTGAACATAAGACCTTCCGACAAATTCTTGTTCCAGGAATTTCTAACATTTTCAGACTGAAGCTCCACTGATGCAAATGTGGTGTTCCATATCTTTTAAGGAGAAAAACACAAAGTTTACAATGTATATAATGTACAACCAAGAATGAAATAAGATTCTTCTACATTGGCACAAAATGCACCAAGTCTTGTTGTATGAGATGATTAAAACGTATAACAAAGCATATATACTTTACTTTCATAAAATAAACATGTATATTACTATGTAAAGAATCTGGAATTTATATATATTGTAATGTACATGTATCAGTAGATATCAACTGTTCACACTAATAAAATGAGAAATGTACTTAAAAATAAATTATATATTTTGTTCTATTCTTAGACCAATTTCAGGGTTCCAACGCTTTAAATTTTTGTGTCATTTTTTGCAATTAGAATCATTATTGTTGAAAATACGGATGGAGAGAATTAATGATCTGAAATTCTGCACAAAATTATGGGTACAGACAAACATCAAATTGAACAAAATCTAAAAAATTTATTTACAGTCTTTTTATGTCAAAAACCTCAGTGGAGTCCCTTTAAAAAATTTTAGTATAAAGTTTTAACACATCAGAAAACTGTGTTGTTATATTAAATTTGAATCTATACACCTTCTAGACATTTTAATGGTTAAATCATTGAAATGACACATACATTATATTATGGCTTCATTATATCAATAAATAAATATACTTAACTAACATCTAAAATGTCTTTCATTTCAATATCCCATCTTCTGTAAGTTTCTAGCCATTTTATGGTCTCTTTGGCACTCTCATTCAATACATCGTGATGTTGTGTTGATTTCTTGTCATCAGGTATTTTTTGTTCCGAAATAATTCTGTCATACATCGCAATGCAATGAATCAGAATTTGGACACACCGATAGACTGTTTCCACTCTTTTATTTTCAATGCTTTTTTTCAACATTTGTGAAGCAATCATGTAGCTCATCTCCCACTGTGTTTGTACCAAAACCTCACTATAATAACATTAGAAAGGAGTTGTTTTAGATGGCAATGAAATAATCTATTTCACAATAAATGAATATTTAGTTTGCATATGTATATGTACAAGTACTATTTTTATCAGGCAATTCAATTAAGACGAAGTAACACTCATCTTTCCATAGAATCCAACAATTACTGTTTAATGGTCATTTATTAGGAAATGAAACATTTTAAGCTTAATGATTACTATGGTAAAACATATTCCTTTTTTCAGACTGAAATAAGAAAGAAGATGCCTGAATTTTTTTAATGCAGTCACACAATTTTTATACATATTTTTCTATCATATTTATATTGAAACAATAAAAAGAAGAAATTCAAAACTAAATAATACCTAAAGAATGTCTCTTGTAACTGTATCAGCAATGAATTCACACAAAGTTGAACAGTCTAAAAAGATTTTGGAAAACTTACATGAAAACATTTTATAAACTTGAAAATTTAACAGATTAACATCTAAACAAAGCATTTAGACTTACTATTTAATTTGATATAAAACAAAAACAACAGATAAAGCTTGTGGTAATATAAGTTTAACTCATAGCTGTTATTTTTCTTGTAATCATCATATCATGAAAATTCAATATTTTTCAAGTACACATAAATAAATGACCTGTACCAAAGAATACTTTGACAGGTTCAGCAAAAAATTGGGGTTGTACAATAAAACTTAAATACAATAGTGCAATTTTTGACATTCATCTTGTCTCAATAAATGTTTGCTTTTTCTGTTATATCAAAGCTCTTGGAATTAGTATTCCACTCTTGAAGACTTAAATATATTTTACTAAGCTTGAAACTTATTTAAACTAATTGACCCAAAAGTTGGACCATTTGTAACCCAAGGGGCATGCTTTTGGTAACACCCGTTAAGGGCCAAGAAGCAATGCTACATGCCAAACATCTAGGCTCTGAGCATTAAAAAAATCACACAAAAAGATTCTATTGTGATTAACTATATAAGTCTGCAAAAACTAATTAACCGTCTGGGTAGAGCCAATTTTGATCTAAAGGGTAATCTAACTTTAGTAGAGATTCAATAAAATTATTAATGTTACAGGCCAAAATGATGTTACAGGCCAAATATACATTCTCTGTGCAAAAGACTTCCAGAGGAAAATATTTTAAGACATATTCTCTTTGTAAATTTATATCAACTCTATGTGACCCCCTAGGGCAGGGCCATTTATGACCCAACTTTTGTAAAAGTCAACTGAGCAATGTTACATGCATTAGGCTCTGGCCTTGAAGTTTTCCACAAAAAGATTTATATTTCTCATATATTTTGGTTTGTATCAAATAAACTACCCTTAATGGCAAGACTAATTTGAATTCCGGGTACTTGATTAATCTAATTTTGTAGGACCACAAGTTGATGCTGCATATCAAGTATCTTAGCCTTGAGCATTGTAGTTTCTGGGAAGACGTTTTTTGAAGTCTTCATATTTAAAGTCTATTTTTTACATCCGATAACTGACCTATGCATCAGAATAGATTCATTAAATATAATTTTTGCAGAGGGATACCTATTAGAATCATTCCAGTGATGCTTTGTCAACAACCACCAACTGGTTTAGGAGATGTTGTTTAAAAAAATTGTGGATATCAACAATTGACACACCAATCACTGTAATCACAAAAACACTTCAAGCCCAGAAACGTTGAAAATTATGTAAAAAATATTAAGCTACTACCTTTTCACCAGATCTCATGTCATACAACCTGTTGCAATTAACTCCGTAATCAAAGTATCCATGAGGTTTGTGTGTTTTCAAGCGATAAGTCAAATGAGCAAGACAGGCATCAACTGGTATTGCCCTTGTTTCGATCAGTGTCTGCAAGTCCTCCAAATCCACAGATGCTATAAATGATCGAGGAAGTAGATAATCTGCATCAAACAATGGCTGCAAGTGTTTAAGCATTTTCTCTACTGGTCTGAAAAAGATTAATCAACAAAGGAATAAAGCTTGCATGAAGGAATCATGATCATGAAAAACACAGACAGATGACTTATTCTTATTTTGTTTGCAAGGTTTATTTCATTTATGAATGATTATTTAGATAAATTAAAACAAATAATATTTGTAAAACATGTATGGCCCTTCATTGAAACCAGTCAGTCATGTTACATAAATACATCAACTTCTTGTTTGCAAACTAACAATTTAAAGATCTGTTAGCATGCTCCTTTGACCTTCATATTCTGCTATAAGCTTGTCATGTACATTACCACAACAAATCTCAAGAAGGTAGACCAACCCATGATTCCACTGTAATTAGTTGGAGGAATATTTTTTGGCCAATAACAACCATGACCTTTGACAGATTGACATAAAAATCATGAGGGGTCATATCATTAACTAGTCATCACCAACATCCACAAATACTCTAATAAGTAAAACAGCCCCCCCCCCCCTAAAAAATAATAAAATAAGAAGAAAAAATAACAAGAGCTGTCATTGAAAAGTGACTTATGCCCCTGAAAGGAAGCTTTCATATTAAATTGGCAATATATGCCAAAATACCAATAATATACGCCCGATCACCTTTGATAAATATCATTCCTAAAATTTCATTGAAATTACTCAAAAATAGATCATTAAGGGGAATAACTGTGCAAAATAAATCAAGCAGTATATCAAGAGAATATGCACAAGCCTACAAACAATCCTGTGAAGTTTCACTGAAATCCCCCTAGCTGTTTTGGTGATGAAGCACTAGCTATGACTAGCTATGACCAATCTCCAACACAAATCTTAGCACTGAAGACAAATATTTTCTCTAATATTTGATCAGGAAAACATTAGTGTTGAAGGCCAAGGTAAACTGGACAGTTGATTGACAAGATGACTAGCCTCTATTGCAAAGCTTAAGCTTAGTCTATATCCTTTTTTGAAAATTGGTCAGGCAACATTTCAACTGTCAAGACCCATGAGACCTTGCACATTGACCAATTGACTTCAAAATTAGAGGGCCATTTACTACTTATGACAAACCAACACTTCAAAGTGTTCTACAGTAATTGCTGTGGTTAAAGCTTAAGTGACTTTCATCTTTGAATGACTGACTTTAAAAAAAATTTGGCCATCTTCTTGTCATTATTAATCAAAACACTTAATACCATGACTGAAGGCCATAGCCTTCTATAGTAATCGGTCCTGAACAAGCATTTAGGGGTCAAGGTCACACACATCTACTAGTCATGTTGGTCATGATCTATCACCAGTCATAATCAACTGGAACACCAAATCTCAAAGCTGTAGGTTAAATGGATCCCCGGGTTTAAGGGTCAGTTGGGGTTATCCTCTAGTCATCACTATTCTCTATACCAAATCTAAGGACTACAGATCAAAGTGTTTATTATTATTGGTAGGACAAGTGTTTTGTTTTAACAAGAGCCACCGCCGGGCGGGGGCAACTCTCGACTATTTACTTTTTCTAAAAGCAAGCATAGAAAGGTTTGAACATATCTTAACGTTTCCTTTTTATAAATTTAGTTGGTCTGTCTTGTCCACGCAATTCTATAAATAGCAACACGCAATTCTATAAATAGCAACACACAATTCTATAAATAGCAACATGCAATTGTATAAATAGCAACACGCAATTCTATAAATAGCAACACGCAATTCTATAAATAGCAACACTCAAATCTATAAATAGCAACACGCAAATCTATAAATAGCAATACGCAATTCTATAAATAGCAACATGCAATTCTAAAAATAGAATCACGCAATTCTAAAAATAGAAGCACGCAATTCTAACACGCAATTCTAAAAATAGAAACACGCAATTCTAAAAAAAGTAACACGCAATTCTATAAATAGAAACACGCAATTCTAAAAATAGAAACACGCAATTCAAACAAGAGGGCCATGATGGCCCTGAGGTCGCTCACCTGTATATAGCCCCCCCCCCCCGGCCAATTTTTACCCAAGGGCTTTTATTTGTTTATTTGAAAAGACTTGGTAGACACCCATAAGAAGATGTTTCATGCTAAACATCTAAGTTCTAGCTCATTGGGTTTTTTAAAAGAAGATTTTTAAGTTTTTACTATACACATATAGTTAAAAACAATGACACCCCTGGGGCAGGGCCAGTTTTGACCCCCGGGCTTTTATTTGAACAAACTTTGTAGATATTTACTTAAAGATGTTTCATGCTTAATATCTAAACTCTAGCTCTTTGGGTTTTTTCAAAGAAGATTTTTAAGTTTTTGCTATACACAAATAAGGAATATCAATGACCCCCGGGGCGGGGCCAGTTTTGACCCCAGGGCTTTTATTTGAACATACTTGGTAGACACCCATTAGAACATGTTTCATGCTAAATATCTTAGCTCTAGCTCTTTGGGTTCCTTAAAAGAAGATTTTTTAAGTTTTTACTATATGCATATAGGGAAAATCAATGACCCCCTGGGGCGGGGCCAATTTTGACCCCAGGGCTTTTATTTGAACAAACTTGGTAGACATTCACAAGAAGATGTTTCATGCCAAATATCTAAGCTCTAGCTCTTACGGTTCTTTAAAAGAAGATTTTTTAAGTTTTTACTATATGCATATAAGGACAATCAATGACCCCCCCCCCCCGGGGCGGGAGCCAATTTTAACCCGGCTTTTATTTGAACAACTTGGTAGACACCACTAGAAGATGTTTCATGCCAAATATCTTAGCTCTAGCTCTTTGGGTTCTTTAAAAAGAAGATTTTTTAAGTTTTTACTATAGGATATAGGGAAAATCTATGACCCCCTGGGGCAGGGCCAATTTTGACCTCAGGGCTTTTTATTTGAACAAACTTGGTAGACACTCATTAGAAGATGTTTCATGCTAAATATCTTAGTCTAGCTCTTGGGTTCTTTAAAAAGAAGATTTTTTAAGTTTTTACTATATGCATATAGGGAAAAATCAATGACCCCTGGGGCGGGCCAATTTTGACGCCAGGGCTTTTATTGAACAAACTTGTTAGACATTCACTAGAAAGGTTTCATGCCAAATATCTAAGCTCTAGCTTTTAGGGTTGTTTAAAAGAAGTTTTTTTAAGTTTTTTACAATATGCATATAGGGAAACAATGAACCCCCGGGGCGGGGCCAATTTTGACCCCAGGGCTTTTTATTTGAAAAAAACTTGGTAGAAGACTCACTAGAAGATGTTCATGCCAAATATCTTAGCTCTAGCTCTTTGGGTTCTTTAAAAGAGATATTTTAAGTTTTTACTATAATTATAGGGAAAATCTATGACCCCCTGGGCAGGGCCAATTTTGACCCCAGGGCTTTATTTGAAAAAACTTGATAGACACTCACTAGAAGATGTTTCATGCCAAATATCTTAGCTCTAGCTCTTTGGGTTCTTTTAAAAGAAGATTTTTTAAGTTTTTACTATATGCATATAGGGAAAATTAATGACCCCCTGGGGCGGGGCCAATTTTGACCCCAGGGCCTTTTATTTGAACAAAATTGGTAGACACTCATTAGAAAGATGTTTTCATCCAAATATCTAAGCTCTAGCTCTTAGGGTTTGTTTAAAAAGAAAGATATTTTAAGATTATTCCCTTCGGTTGCCATGGCAACCAGAGTTCTGCATGGAATTAAATTCTTTGAACAATTTTTAAAGGTGACCACCAAAGGAACATTCCTGTGAAGTTTGGATGAAATTGGCTCAGTGGTTTATGAGGAGATGTCATTTAAAGCAAAAGTTTACGGACGCCGGACGAAAAGCGATCACAAAAGCTCACCCTGTCACTTTGTGACAGGTGAGCTAAAAATAGAAACACGCAATTCTAAAAAAAGAATCACGCAATAACACGTTATTCTAAAAATAGTAACACGCAATTGTAAAAATAGTAACACACAATTCTAAAAATAGTAACCCGCAATATACAGTGTTGTTGTTGTTGTTGTTGTTGCACAATCTAAGAAAATTCAGTAATTTAAGCTTCAAGGTCAAAGTCATTAAAGAGCCCAAGCAAATTTGGGTTTGATTAACAACAAGGTCTGGTCCTTAAGAATGTTCTGTTATAATATGAAGTTGATCCTTTCAATAATAGCAAAGTTACAGTCAGTTACAGCCAAATCAATGAAAATTTCAATAATTTGACCTTCAGAGACAATGCCATTAAAGAGTGAAGGTCAAGGTCTGTTGGGTTATTTTTAAGAGTTATCCTTGAAGATTATTATGTTCAAGTTTCAAGACAATCCATTCAAAAATAACAAAGTTACAGCCAATAATAGCCCAAAAAATGAATATTTCAATAATTTGACCTTCAAAGTCATGGTCATTTATGAGTGAAGGTCAAGGTCAGTATGGTTATTTTTAAGGGATATCCTTGAAGATTATTTTGTTCAAGTTTCAAGGCAATCCATTCAAAAATAACAAAGTTACAGCCAATAATAGCCAAAAAGAATGAATATTTCAATAATTTGACCTTCAAAGTCAAGGTCATTTATGAGTGAAGGTCAAGGTCTGTCGAGTTATTTTTAAAGGATATCCTTGAAGATTATTATGTTCAAGTTTGCATTCAAAATAACAAAGTTACAGCCAATAACAGCATGAACAAGCAAAATTTGGACTTTTAACCTAGAAGGTCAAGGTCATTTATGGATGAAGGTCAAGGTTAGTGTAGTCTACTGAAAGGTCTTGTCCCAAGGAATGTTGTGGCCAAGTATGAAGACAATACATCAAGAAATAAAAAAGTTATGATCCAGGTACAAGTTTGCGGACGGCAACGTCAACGGCAACGCCGCCACGACTATAACAATACCTCTACTTTTTAAAAAACAAGAGGGCAATGATGGCCCTAGATCGCTCACCTGACTTATCAAACTCATCCAAACAATTACCTAGACAAGCATTTCTGACCCAAGTCTCATGAAGATGAGTCAAAAATTGTGACCACTACAGTGTTTACAAGGATTATCCATATTAGCAGTGCGACCAGTTTTTTACCCAGGTGACACATATTCAAAACTTGACCTACAGAAATCATCAAAACAAACTTTT